GGGGGGGGGCGAGTCTCTACGAGTTACACTGGTTTTGCCTGCAAACTACGAAGGAGGAACCTGTTGGCCGGGTGCTTCTGCTGAACCGGCAGCCCGGCGGCCGGAAGTCCCGGCGTCCCGTGCCACCAGCCCAGGACACCACGCAGAGTCACTGAGGAGTCTCTGAGGGAAACAGGAGCCCAGCTCACGCTCCGCCTACGGGTCGACCTCCTCGGGAACCACGGTGACCATGACGTCTTCGTTGCCCCTGCGGACGACCATGTTCAGGGTGTTCTCCTTCTTGATGACGTCGCTGACGTCGCTGGCGGAGACCACCGACTGCCCGTTGATGCTGATGATGATGTCATTCTCCTGGAGCCCCCCACTGCAACACAGGGGAGGACACCCGTCACGCCTCCACGCCTCCGTCCAGCTGCCACGGGAGGCGGTCAACGTGGCGGTGACGGCCGCGTGGGTTAGAACCTAAGGGCCCAGAGCAAACAGGGCGGGCGGTGGCTAATAATGTACGTGACTTAGACCGCTAGAGGGTTATTTCCTTTTGAGGCTTTCGGACAAACTGTCAGTCGTGTCCTTTTCGGAAATAACTACCAGCACTTGTGTGATCCGTGACAGACTGACCGCAGGGGAGGCGAGGGCGTGCCACAGTCCCCCGACCACGTACCGTGGCCAAGGCCAACCTTCTTGTAATAGGTGTCACAACTCAGAGAACTGTTCGTACCAGGACGGGCGATGGTCCTGTCCCGGGACACTTCCTTTGCGTTGCTGCTGCTGTGACTTTAGATCTTACCTATAACAGCACAAAATAGCCCAGAGGCCACCTAGCTTTTTCTGCAAAGGGCCAGGTAGGAGACGGCTCAGTCCTCACAGGCCTCGCTGTCCTTCTGTCCCAACCACTCAACTCTGCTGTCACAGCCAGAAGCCACCCTAGCCCGTATCTCATCCACCGGGGACGGCTGGGTTCCAGTAAAGCTTTAGGACGGACGCTGACGTTTGACTTGCACACATTTTTCACGTGTCATAAACTGCTACCCTCCTTTAAAAGTTTTTTCAAACATTTAAAAATGCAAAATCTATTCTTAACCTGTGGGTGGCACAAAAGCAGCGAGTCCACCAAACCCAGCCCCGGGAGTGTGCTGGCCCCGTCCACCACTTTCCTCTGGGTACTGGGTCAGCACAGGTAACACACCCGCTTGCTGGTCGAGCTACTTCTTTCCATCTGACTTAGATGTGGCCTCGTTATTTTTTAGAGGTGTGGGCAGGGACAGCCTGACCGATAACAGATGGGGTCGGGGGGGGGAGGGTCCTGATGCCTAGGACAGGACCCCTGCCCGGGGTCTTAGGGACCCTGCTCCTTACACCCCGTTTCCCAGCCAGGCCTGTCCAGGAGACTCTTACGGAGCTGACAGCTCTTCCCACCTGGACGACCCTGAGGGCGGGAAGCCCCTTCTCGCTGGAGCGCCCTAAGCTGAACCAGGTGGAACATCTGATGGGCAGGGCTGACCGAGGACGCCCGACCATTCTGTGCAGGACCCCCAGTCACCTGAGCTGACGTGGCCCCAGGAACCCGCAGGAAATCGGGAAAATAACTGACTCACGCTTCCGCGGGGGTGTCGGGAATGACTTCGATGATGTACGCTCCTGATAGCACGTCCGGGAAGTCTCGGTGCCGGTCCTTCAGCTCCTTGGCTTTGCTGCTTGAGGGACAAGGCTCGCCTGTTAGCACCCGGGCCCACGCCCTCCCGGCGCAGACCCGGCTCCCACCGCTTCTCCCGCCCAATTCCAACGTAAAGCTCCTCCTCCTGTCCCCGGTTCTGCTCTAAATCGCCTGTCTCCTAGACCCAGAGATGGACTGGGCAACAGCAAGGGGCACGCTTATTACTCTTACTCATTTGACTCATTAGCTGATAGCAGCCGCCACCCGAGGAGCGCGTGCAGCAGAGCGGCTGGCTGGCTGGGGGCCTCGGCCCTGCCGCTTCCTAACTGTGTGGTCTGGGGCCGTTGCTTGACCTCTCTGTGCCTTGGTTTTGATCAAATGCAAAACAGGGGCAATGCGTTTCCTCCATGACAGGGTTGTTATGAGAATGAGATGAGGTCGTCTGGCTACAGCAGGACGCCCAGTGCCTGGCGCGGTGCGAGCAGGTGGTAAACATGGCTGGCGTCACTGCGGCCAGTGACCACTGCCACCGCCCACTAAGCCAAGCCTTGGCACACTGAATCACCCAGTCCTCACCACACGCCCGGACGCCTGTGCCGTTACCTCATCCCAGATGCCAGAAACGGAGGCATTCAGAGGCCAAATCGTTCCCAAACTCACAACCCAGCAAGTCGCAGAGCTCGGACAAGAACCCAGGAGGCCGGAGCCCAGGGCTACACCTTTGTCTCCCAGAGTTCAAGACCAGACTGATGCACATTTAGTCTTGGCTAAGAAAGGTACCAGCATTCGTAATACGTACCTAACCTATACTATGGGTTCACCATTAGTTAACAGGGAATCAATTATAACAATAATATATTAATATCTATATTAGGATGTCCTGTTCTTTGCCGAGTTTACCCACAGTAATTTCAGTGACATCCTTAGTTACCAGGACGCATGGGATTGCATCAGGTTTTTTCATCAAGGGTGAAAAACACCAGCGTGTTACGGGCCTGGCAGCCACATGCCCGACTTCTAGCAGCTTGGGGAAAACAAGCCCATCAGTCACCCCGGGCCTGACCACATTCCAGAGCCACAGCCCACATGCAGCCCAACTGACCGGCAGGGTGCTCTGGACACAGGGCGGGGCCGGGCACTCTCGGAATGTGGGTGTCAACAGGACAAGTGGTGGCAGCAAGGCCTGAGGGAGAGTGACCAACACCCCGCTGTTCGGGCCTGCCCGCAAAACGGAAGGCAGAGTCCTCTAGAAGGAAGGACCTGCTCAGAACACAAAAACAAACTGCAAGAGCCTGGTCGGTGGGGCTCAGTGGTTCCTGGAGGTCACAGTTCAACTCCCGGTCAGGGCACAGGCCTGGGTTGTGGGCTCGAACCCCAGGAGAGGGCGTGTAGGAGGCAGCCGATCGATGACTCTCTCTCATCAATGTTTCTATCTCCCTCTCCCTCTCCCCTCCTCTCTCTGTAAAAATCAATAAAAACACATAAATAAATAAAAACCCCAAAAACTGAAAGGTAAAACGGGGGCCAAGGATCACGGCCCCACCGCTCTTTCCTAATGTTAAACTTTAACCAGAGACTGAGATCTCTCAGGGCAGCTCGAGGCCCCTCCTGCAGGGGGCGCCAGGGGGGACCTTCTGAAGTTCAGGTTCATTCAGCTGTAAGACAGACACACATCCTGCTACCCACCTGGATGTGAGCGACATCATTCGGATGCCGATATACTTCTTCTTGGTGATGGCTTTGCCTGGGGGCGCAACAGAAGGACAGCAGAGGTCAGCCCCATTGGGTGGCTATGCCGGGGACACCGTGAGCCACGAGGCTCAGTCCCCCCGTTCGCAGTGGGCAGTCAGGGCCAGGAGGGTGTGTGCTGAATTCTGCCGTGAGCCGTGGTAACTCCTGTCCCTTCAGGTCATGGCTGAAAACCTAGGAGGGGTCCTGGGTTTCTCTTCTCCCCATCCTGACATCTGATAAGGGTTCCGTCTGTCACCTAAGTCCAGAGTGTGGCCCCGTCCCTCCACCCTGGTCTGGGTGACCAGAAGAGCCTCTTAACTGGTCTCCCACTGCCACCCCCTCCCCCTTAGCAGAGCCACCTCGCAGCCCAGAGAGGGACCTTTCAAAGACATCAGCCAGATCATGAACTTCACTGTTCTCCAAGCAGTTAAAGTGCAACCCCAGCCCTCCCGTGGCCATTGTGACCCTGGCTGACTTCCTTCCACATCCACGCGTTCACTGCATCCAGCCGCAAGGCCCCCTCTGGGGTCCTGTGCGCACCACCCTGTGTCCAGGGCGGAGGCCTGGACCCCGCTGGTCCTCTGGCGGACGATCTCCCCCAACATCCTCACCTGCTGGCTCCCTCTCCCCCAGGTCTCCACTTAGGAGGGGTTTCCGGCCGCACTGTCTCCCCTGGCTGCCCTTCCCCAGCCCATTTCCCTGCCTCATTTTCTGGGAAGTACTCTTGGTACCTGAAATCATCTCATTTGTCTGTTTACTATCAGCCTCCCCCACCCCCAGGTAGGAGGTAAACATCACGCCTGCAAAGGACCCCAGCCTGACCCCGAGCAGGGGGGTCCCTACACCTCAGTGGAATGAACGGTCCCCCTGAGTCTCAGCTTTCTCATCAGTGACGTGGGACTAACAACCCCACATGACCGGGCAAAGGCATCAATGACCCAAGTGAGTGTTGAGCTGAAATGACGTATAGGAATCACCCAGGGTTGTATTAACCTGTACGAAACGTTCACGGTCATCAGTCAAAAATGGCAACTCTCTACGACCTAATCCCGGGGGCTTCAGGACGTGCGTTCTTTCCCTTCCTGATTAAAAGTCCTGGGGGACCCTCAGGCGTGTGGTTTCCCTGTCCCGAGTCCCCAGTTTCCCTGTCCCAAGTCCCCAGTTTCCCTGTCCCGAGCGGCCACCTTGGGCCTGCATCTCCCACCGGCTGGCTGGCTGGCGGGCTCTCTCGTTACCTTTGGCCTGTCGGTCATGGGACTCGGTTAGGAACTTTTTAATCTTATCAGATGGGATGGCAAAGGAGATCCCGGCTGTCACTTTCAGGGTGTTAATTCCAATCACTTCCCCGTCCTGAAAGGCAAGACAGAAATGGCTCAGGGAATCCACAAAGGTTCACCTGAAGACGAGCTGGGAGCTGGGGAGGGAGAGAGGACAGAGGACCTCTGAGTGCGGTGGGAGCTGGCAGGAGGGGTCGGGCCGCAGGGGACAGGCCTCGCCGGGGCAGCCCTGAGTCACGCTTGGTAAGGGCGACCCACACGCTGGGCCTTCCTAGGGCCTCCCCACGCTATGAAACCGCCTCAGGCACATAGTTTCAAGATACACATCTGCTCTTTCACGAGGAAAGTTTCCAACAAAACCTCTGAGTGCTTCAGGTGGCTGCCCCCACCCTCCCGCTCCTCCCAACTCCACTCATCTCAGGATTCCTCTGCCGACAGGATGGGCCCACCCGCCTCATTTCCAGAAAATGCAGTTCAGACGGCAGCCTCGGGGCCTCATTTCCTCTGCTCGTCCCCCACCAGCTCTAAGTCACGGAAGATTCCAGCTCACGGGCTGGGCTTTGATTCTAGATAAACCCACAGCTTGGTCCACGCTCCTCAGTCGGAAACAGTCCTGGAACAGCGGGCTCGCCTCACGCCATTCGGCCATTATCCTGAACGCCATTGTTAAGTGGCTTGTTCAACTCAGGCTGACACGGGAAACCGGCCCAGAGAGCATATGAATCACTCCCTGCACACTTCCCGAGGCACGAGGATCCAGCCCCCAACTCCAGGGGACCCTCCGGGAGGCAGCGCCATCCCGGGCCTGGCTGGAGGTGGCCTCGGTTTCGTCACCTGTAGCCGAGAGCTGAGCCGGTGACCCCTGAGCTGCACCCTTGTGCCCTGGCTGACAGTCCGGCTCCGAGGCTTCCCTTTGCTGCTCCCGCCTTTGAATACAGGCTGGGTGACGTCTCTGGGAGTGGGGAACTCCTCATTCCAGCCAGGTCCTGAGGGAGGGCTCCCGGCCAAGACAAAGACACGGACACGCCAAGCCAGCTCCTCCCGCAGCCCGGAGGCCTCATCGGAGGTCTTTCTGGGACAGGCCAGGGCTGCTGCCACCTTCCCAACAGGCCGGCTCCTCCGGCTCCTCCCGCTCCGACCCGAATCCCACTGCGTTTCCTTGTAACTGAAGCGCGAGCGTGTCCAGGGACATAACTTCCAGCCTCAACTCCCACATCCCTTACTCCCCCCAAAAAGAAAAGGAGGGTGATTCTTAAGGAGACCAACATTCACAGGTGTCACTTTAAAAGAAGGAATGTGCTGGGCAAGTTCATGTCTGAAAAGAAAGCAAAGGAAAAAGCATATAAGAAAGGCCTTACCAGGTTCACTAGCGGGCCTCCCGAGTTCCCGTACTGAAATCAAGCAGAAATGAAAAGTTATGAGCTTCTGTCCTTCCTCCCTCCCACCTACCTCCCTGCCCGCAGGCTCCTTCACCACTTTCAGAAAGTTTCAGATATGCCATAAATGGTATTTTTTTCTCTCCAAAGCTCAGAGGCCACCGATGAACTCCCTAAAACACCCAGCACAACTTTCTCTTGGCAGCAGCCCGGCTGCCCACCCGGGTTGCCGAAGCCCGGGATTTCCGTCTGCTCAGCCCCCCATTTGTGTGGCCCCCACTCTGCAGCTGGGCCTAGAAATCCGCATGATTTGCTCTGTTTCCATTACTTCGCACAGAACCACAGAAAAGTTGGGGAATAAAACCTATCCGAGGCAGCGATGCACAGATGGGTCTAATAAATAGATGGGTGTTGGGGGCAACATTGCTTTTTACAAACGTCAATCCTATCGGGAGACAACTAAAAATGTGACTTAGAAAAGATTCCACTAATGAGAGTGTGTGGAGCAACCCCTGGACTCCTCAGACATCGAACAGTGTGGGGGCGATGCTTAGACTGCACCCCAAGGCACAGCGGACACCTCCTGGGCGCCAGGGGAGCATCCCTCCTGCCACAAAGCCACCAAGGCAGCTCCACGAGAGTCTGCTGCCCTGGGAGAGGGGGGCTCCTCCGGGCCGCAGACCTTGGCAAATCTAAAGTCCCCTTCTCTGCAGTCCCTGCAGGTGTCTAAGGACCAAGGGCCAGCCCGGCCTCACCTGCTCTAGGGCTGCAAAGGGAACTAACTCCCGGCTCAGCACCTGAGGACCTGCCCCCACCCTGGTTCCTGAGCCCGTCTGTCCGAGGACCTGCCGGAGCCCGGCAGGCGGCCTGGCTCACGTTGATGATGGCGTCTGTCTGGATGTAGTCCATGTCCGAGTTCCGGAGCCCCAGCTCCTTGCCGCCACGCTGGGTGGTGCTGACGATGCCGGTGGTGACGGTGTTCTGAAGGGAGAAGGGGCTTCCGATGGCGACCACGAACTCCCCCGGCCGCAGCTCCGAGGAGCGGCCGAGCAGCAGCACCGGCAGCTTCCCCTGGAACACAAGGTTGGCGTCGCTCGGTGCACAGAAGGGACGTGCGCACAGGTGTGGCGGTGGCAGGGCCACGCGGGCACCACAGACGCCAGGCCCGGGGAAACCGAGCTTGTCCTCCATCCCCTCCAGGCCCAGGGTGGCGCTTCCCTTCCCACCCATGACAATCAGTGGCGCTGCGGTGAGCGCCGAGGCCACGAGCCAAGGAAAACGTGGGAGGTGGCTGGCGGCCACCTTGGGGTCTCCGCACGTCTTGGAGCGACGGGCACAGACTCACCATGAAACCTCAGGCCCAGGAGACGGAGGGAGATGCATTTCAGACATGGGGCAAGCTGCCTGGGGTTATCTTAGAGAGCAAAGCCCGGGGAGGACCCTGAGCCCACACACCCCTGGGGGGCAGGGACAGGCTGAAGCTGCTCCCACGGGCACTTTCTCCTGAGTGCCGGGCAGTCGGGAGACTGAGGGCAGGGATGGCTCTGACTCAGTTGGATGTGTCCTGTGCTAAGAACATACCAACCCGGTGAGGTTGGTATCGGAGCAGTGACAGATGGGGTCGGAGCAGCGAGGCATCCGGGACCCCCAGACACCAAGACCCAAGAGGTGGGCTCTCTGCTTGTCTGAAAAGGTCCCCCGTCAGCCACCTCTGCTCCCAGCCGGGTGAGGCTGAGTAACAAGCCCAATCCTGGCTGTCCCATGAAGGCTGGGCAGGGCCAGAGCCCCATCAACCCTCCAATCCCACTCGGGATGAAATGAAGCCAGCTCGAGTCACCAGGCCGGAAAGAGCTGGGCGTCCACCAGGGGAGGCCTTGGCCCCCCACCTCCCTTCCTCCCAGAGCCAAGGAGTCCTTGCCTTGTTTTCTGAGTCAACACGAGCAGCTGCCCCAAACAACGTGGGCCAGGCCCTGGCCTCGTGCTAATTGCAGTTTGAGTCCTCATGTCTGTCCACCTCACAAAAGAAAGAAGCCAGGGGGTCCAGAGGGTGGGCTGGGAAGAGCACACCAGTGGTGACTTCAGCATGTCCTCTGCCAAGGACAGAGCAGACACCAGCTAATGGGGGACGTTTAACAGATGAAGAAACTGAGGCTCTGAGCAACTGAATGACTTGAGACAGAGAAGGGACCTAACCCTGGGGCTGTGACCCGGGCCCCAGGCTCTCTCACCCACCACACACAGCTCCTCTCCACGAAGACCCCTCCCCACCCCAATCAGGAAGGGGCTGCCCAGGAAGCTGCGGCCCAGCAGGTCACGGAGGAAGAAAGGGACATTGGAGGTGGGACCTGAGACCTGAAACTGACTCCGAGAGAGACGCATGAGAAGGGACGCCCCTCAGGCCAGTTACCGGGGCGCCTGGTAGAGCACTGTGGTCGAGAGCACAGACCTCTGGCCAGGCTGCCGATGAGATCCTGGCCTGAGCTCACAACCACTGGGGCCTCGGTGTTCTCATCTGGAAAATGGGGTCATGTCACACGTCCATTTCATCAGTTAGTCGTGAGAATTAAGTGACTTAAGATCTGAGCAGTGCCTGGCTTGTGGGGTTTTTTTTGGTTGTTTTTTTTTAATGTTTTAATTGATTTCAGAGAGAGGAAGGAGGAGAGAGAGAGACAGAAACATCAATTGATCAGCTGCCTCCTGCAAGCCCCCTACTGGGATCGAGCCCACAACCTGGGCATGTGTCCTGCCTGGGAATCGAACTGTGACCTCCTTGATCATAGGACGAGGCTCAACCACTGAGTCATGCCGGCCGGGCCCCTGGCTCATTTTAAGCATCATGGGAGTGGGCCAGGTAAGCATCGTATAAGTACTGGGACCTGTGCAGACCCAATGGGGAAACCTCACCAATGAAAATCCCACAAGCCAGTCCGGGCCACCCAGTTGTTCACCCAGGAGAAGGCTGGTGGCACAGGTCTGCCTGGACAGTGACTCTTTGACCTCGGGGTCATGTGAGGCCAGAGTGCCCGGTGCTGCTCTGGAGGGGGCAGGCCTGCAGCCTCACATTCCCCACCACCCCCTGCCACTCCCCAGCGTCCAGGCACTCCAGCCAGCTCAGCACGGCCTGTGGCCTGTTTACCCTGGGGCCAGGCCAGCTGCCCCTGCCAGCAATGACCTCATCCAACAGTCACAGTGCAGCCGGCGGGCGGGGACAGGAGTTAGGGTCCGTGATGGGGGAGGCCCCCGGGGGACATGACTCCTCCTTCAGGGCCTGGGAACAGCCTTTGGGGTTAATTTGAGGGGTGAGCAAGGGGACACCGTGGTGAAGGGTCCTGGGCCGGGTCTGCCTGGCTGCCCAAGATAACAGCTGCTTCTCACCAATTTTCGTGCACGCAACCAAGTTCAAACGCAGAAGGGTGGGCTTGGCCCACGTCAGCTCAGCCACAAGGTGGGAATCCCATCAGAAAGCTCCGAGCAACTCCACCGCCACCCCCCTGTCCCCAGGGCTCCCGGGACTCAGGGTACCTAGGAGGCAGAGGGGGGTCAAGACAGTGTCTCTATAACTCCCCTTCTCCAGCCTGAGCTCAGGCCTAGAGCGAGGGGAAGAGGCGACCACTGAGAGGGAGGGGGTGCAGAGCTGCGAAGGCACAGGGGAGAGACCCCGAGAGCCTGCGCGCTGCTCAGCCACCCCTGCTGGATAGGGCCAGGCCTCCAGGGGATGCCCAGAGAACCCTGTGGGCAAGCGTGGCCCCAGTGCAGCAAAGGTCATCCACACAGGCTTGGACAAGGGGACACCAGCAATCCAGCCCAGAGACTCCCAAAGACCAGTCCTGACCAAACAGGAGGAAACACAGGTCACAGGGCAGCACTGATTCCCACCTGTGCAAGCTTTTTTTTTTTTTTTTTTT